TTATGTGATAGTAGCCTTAACTATCCTCTTGCTGATATCCTTTTGTTCGTGTTTCTTCTAGGGCTCTCTGACTCAGCATGGCTAGCAGTGTGGGAATATACTTGCCATCAATCTCCAACAATGCTGGTGGCGTCGCTTATAACCACCTCCCAACAGGCCACTTTTCATGAAAAGGAAATCCATGATGAACCTTTGAGCTCTCATTGGCCTGTTGCAGCCACTGTCTACTGGCAAGGATACTGTGACAGATGGACTGAGAAGCTAGGGCACACAATCCCTATAGTGGGGGGGGGGGGGGGTAATGATGTGAGCAGGCAAAAGGAGGCTGCCATCAGAGACTGTAGCCTGAGTATATCTTATCAGTGAGTCTATAATTGAAATAATCCTTTACACAGCCAGGATGTCTGCAGTGGGTGAATGTGTTGGTTACATGAGGAAAAAACCAAGCAACTCGTGAAATAAGATTGTTGTAGGTGATGATCACATACACTGGCATTGGCTGTAGGCATGGCCCATACGAGCTATAGGACAGAGTTAAGAAAGCAGTGGACTGAGCGCATCACATGATACAAGCTTGTCTCCGTTATTTGATTTCCTGGTCAATGCCCGCCTCCTTAAATATATTGATTTTTGGAAATAGCCTTACTTGATAGAAACATAATCCACAATATGCGTGATTTTATACTCACAGAATCACTTGCGTTTTTACGCAGCTGATCCTCCTCTCCCACCACCACGGCCGGGTCCACCACGAGTTTCTCGAAGCACGCCGAGCCGAGAGAGGAGCTCTTCTGCTGGTACGTGATCAGCTGGGATATGGCGAGTTTGGGGCTTCCATGCGCAGTCAGCTCGGGTTTGCTCCCCGTGGCTCCAGAAGCTGCGCCAAGAGGATGCAGAGGCTGCCCTTCGCTGCTGGTGGCGGGGACCTGGTCGCTTCCATGGGACTTCACTTCTCCTTCAAAAGACGCTGGAGGAGTGGAACACAGATTCGGCTGAGACGACGAGAACACCCGGTCCAACTGTTTCTTTTTCCTCTTAAACATCCATAACCCCGATTCCTTTTTGCTGCCCTCCGCGCCCCCGGAACTCCGACGCTCAGATCCCAGTTTAGGACTGAGCCAAGGCTTGGTTTTCTCCTGGAAATTCTTCCACATCCTCCTCTGGTAGGATAGAGACTCCTGTCCTTTGCCGCTGCTCTCATGCTTAGGTGATTTCTTCTCCATGGTGCTTGTGCAGCAGCCAGCCAGCCTGAGCACACTGAACAGTGGAAGGATGTCACAGTTGGGCTGCTGCCGTGCGGGAGCACTTCCACTGATGATTAGGTTTAGAGCGCCAAGAAGGATACGCACAATGTGATAATGGAGGGGGTGTTAGTCTTCCAAGCCTTGTAAAATGCCGATGCATGCAGCCCGTAAATTGGATGCCTTGCACGGTGCAGCACGTTGGATAGACTGGAAGTAATAGCCCCATCTATTGAAGATTCTAAGCTGTGAAGTTGGAGCACATGCAGTGACTTCTTCAAAAATATATAATGCTTGGTGAGGCTCCGGGTGGTTGTTGATTACCGGTCCACTGTACTTTACAAGGGTTAAGTCAAACTTCCACATTAATTGTGCTATTCAAATGAAGACTGCACCACGCCTCCTTCTGGCCAACCGTGTCACTGGATAATATGTGTGCTGGTGATTGCATAACACAACCCCACAATGCCTCGTGGAGATGTTTATAATACTCTGTTGTCACCCCATCCCAGTGTATCTCTTTTTTGTTAGTGCATGGTGATTTTCAGCCACCAGATTATTCCTCCAAAGCATTGACCTTGGTAAAGCCGGAGCAGACAGAGAGTCCAGTGAAACCTCAGAGGTTTGAAAGACGTGTACTGTGTGGATGTTCTTGCACTGTGAACGTTATCACCCACATGCAGCAGTGAGCACGCAGCACTGAACAGCCTCTTCTCCTTTTAGATGCTGTGCTGCTGCGCTGTAATAACTCATTACGTTTTACCCTCTGGCCATTGTTTCAATGCAGGACTCTTCTTTGCCCCTGGTTAATATTGTTCCCACTTTCACTTAAACAAGCAAACAGAGACAATAATTACTAGTAATTACACATGTACACAGTACGAAGAAGGTCAGAGAATGACCTTTTATTTGCAAACAGGGCTGATGTAAAATAGAATAGAATAGAATAGTTTAATGTCATTATACATGTACAATGAGATAAATGCGTATACCTTTCAAGGGTGCCATCAAAACAAAAACAAAACATCACAACATAAGACAACAAAATACACGCAGCATACATACTTAGGAATAAGGGATAAAGGAATATAAAAGAGAGTAAGTGAGAGTAGCTGCTTGCATGGTCATTTATTCATGTGACGTCACACACTAATATGACCCTGGTATCACTTGTAGAAGTAACGATGGAGGTGTGATTGGTGCTAATAATGCTTTCTGTTGCAAGCACTTGGCTTCGACCCTCTAATAATTAGAAAAGGATAATCAGCTTGCAATGTTGTGTGATGATTTATAGCAGCAATGACCAGAGTACATCATACTTGACAAATAGTCATGTGTTTGAGTAATCGGGTTATTTATCAAACCTTGGATGAGAATCCAATAAAGACTTTTGTTGAGGCCTGGGATCCTCCCTCCTTCCTGCAAAATGAAACACTTGAATTACAACCAGGAGGGCACTGGCGGCACACAGTGGATTGCCCTGAGGCCCTCTCTCAGTTAAGTAGATGGAGATGGGAGAATGTGAGCCAAACAATGCCTGTCATCGGCTTTCTGGAGAACTGATGAGTCTGCATTAAGCAGGCCTTTCCTCTTAATAAGCCTGGACCGGTTGATAAGAGACGAATCTGCAGTATCTGCGGCCGTTAAAAATTCTGAATCCTGTACACTGTCTGCATTTGCATTAACTGTAATGCAGTGGCACAGTACAGCTTGAGTCACATTGTATGATAAATAGTTCAGGTTTTGTGTATATAAAACATGATAAGGCCATTTTCACTGTGTTGCCTCTCGGATTGAGAGTAAATCTCAATGTACAATAAATATGTAATTATATTGTGTGCAATAAAACACCAGACAGACCGGATGAAGAGCTGATTTAGCTATTTTTTCCTTATAATACTCCCAGTTCCCAGTTCGAATAATTACATTTTCTTCCTTACAGCCTCAGCAAGAGTAATTGGAGCTGTCATGACCTCTTACTGCAGGCAATTAAGTTATTCAAAGTTTATACTCAAAAAACTTTAGGAGAGCTTTTGGCTTAAATCAGCCATGTACAGCAGGATAGATTAAGTACTGTTGGCAAAACGTTTTTGTTTTGATGTGAATTGAATTAATTTAGCACAGACATTTGTTTGAATTTGAATCTAATGCTATTATGCACATTTACATTTGTAATCTGTTATTAGCCACAGTCAGCCAAATGGAAAGGAACACTCAATGAGGGCTAGATTGTAGTATTTCATTAACAAACACAATAGACTCTTAAGTACTGAAACTGAAAACGATTAATGAAGAATATCATGATTAGGAGAACTCCAGGATGCCAATTCAAGTTAGACACCAAATTCCAACCGTTACCTATTAGTTTAGCAGCTTATCATAATTGAGTAAACAGTGATACTAATTAAGTGAGGAACTGATGGTGATCATAACACCAACAGGACTTTAGATTTTGATATCTATAAAGTAATAAACCATCCAGGTCAAAAAGATAAACAGGCACCTTGATACATTTCTGATTAAGCTTCCGTAAAAGTGATGTGCACACATGACTTACTCAATTTAAATAAATGTTCTCGTTTTCTGAGTTAAAAGATGAGTCAGTAGAGAGTTTACTCATGCTCGTGCACAGGACAGGGGAAATGCCACGAGCAGAAAGGCAGTGGGAGTGAGAGAGATGATGAATATAATTATTTTGTGAGTTCAAATATCAGCATCACTCATTGCTATGTTGAACAACGCACTGGCAGGCACACCTCACTCATGGAGACCACAGTTACCAAGACACAACACAAACAAATCAAGAGCCGGCTGAAGAAAAAAGCACAGGTGAGTATTGTGAGTATTACTGAATATGTAAGAACTGGTTGATGTTTTGATGTTTTAAATGGGAACATTTTGCATTATTTTGGTTGAAGTATGCCCAGATAGGACTTTCAAATGTTGATTTTAATTCAAGGAAAAAGGGTAGCTACCCTGCAAATTCCAAAAGTCCAAACTTTGAATGTTTCTTTAATAAATGAATGCAATGGTGATAAACTTTGATCTTCTGTGATTTTGTTCTCTGCACAAAAAAGTAGTCAAAGCAAGTTGTGTATGTTGCCTGCTATTATTCTGTTTATTTTTGGAACAATTGTGACACATTTAACCCTGCAGTAGGTTGACAGCAGATGTGAAACACAATGTAATGAAAAGTGTACTGTTAATACCACCAAATATTTAATATGTGTTTTTTAAATTCTTTTTAGAGAAGAACAATGTCACACAAGTTGCAGCCCTACCAAAACCCCGGCAAGTAACTTTTTCCTTTTTACTTCCTCAATTGAATATTTCTATATTACAAATGTTCTAGTACCTTATTCTTCACCTTTCTTAGTCCATGTGTTCTAAAACCAGTCTGTGTCCAGAGGTAGATACTTATTTTTCCCTTCAATGATTGGATGGAGGTATGTTGGAGATCCATCTGCGACCTTTCTAACACAGCTGTGAATCACATTGATCAATTCATCCTTAATCCACAATAGCATCAGACAGGGTGACAGAGCACTCACAGGGACATGAAGTCAGTGATAGATGTGTTATGAGGAAGACCAGAGGGTCTGAGAACCAGCACATCTCTCTCCATTATTATTCTGGGTGGATGAATGCTTAATTGAATCATACTGTAAAAGGATTCCCTTGCCTCCAGTGCTAGAAAATGTTAATTTGTCATGATTTACGACATGTCTCCCTGTACAGATATCAATAATATGGGGTTTCATGACTCAAAGCTTGGTTTTCTGTTTCCGCTCACTTCATTATGATGTCTTGGGGAGTAGTCTGAGTGGTCAGGAGAGGACACTGGCTGTGCTGCTGGAACAGGCTTTCAGGATCAGAGAGGAAGTGGCAGCAGGCCTGCAGTCGGCCCAGGACTCCCTCCAAGTTGAGACACTGTCCCGCAAGCTGCTGGAGAATCACATACTTACTGACCATTACACGCATTGTCAAGCAGCTTAGCATGGACATACAGGTATAAGGTGGACACATATGTGCTAATGCGTGTTGTGATATATATTTGGTATTATGTATATGAAGTCAGTGTCTATTTGTGTGCATTCCCTTTTCTCTCTTCATGTCTAGTCCTCTTTTGTCACTCCATCTTTTATCTGCCTTCCTCTCTTCTCATCTCCTTTGATGTGCAGCACACTCCCGGACACACACTCGCAGCTGATTTGATTACACCTGATAGAATGGTGCAGAGCCTGAGCAAAGCCTGCCCGACACCTCATCAACGTCAACCCGTGGACATTTTGTATATACATGCAAAAAAAAAATGATGTACAATCATCATTGATCGAGCACAACATCCAGCCTCACAGTTTGATAACTGACTTATAGAAACAGAGCACAACATTGTTACTCATTACTTCATTAGTGCATACCAACTGGGCTGTTAACATGATTAAACGCTGTCATTATCTGAAATATAACATTAAGCCTGAGAGCTAATTAATTATGCACATGAGGAATTAAGCTCAGGCGTGAAATAAATGTGCTAGTTAATCAGATGAAAGGAACATCACACAGTCACATACTTGCTCTCATGATAATCCAGAGGGTCGTCCTGTTGATGTCGGGTTATCAACATCAGGCATATTGCAAACATGCTTATGGCCTGTTTCATAGAAATATAATTCATGCATAAGTGGTGATGAAATGTGTTAGAAAAATATCACTCGTCACCGGCTTGAGCTTCAATATCAGGATACATGTATTTATTATCCTCTCAAGAATGAAAGTAGTCATTACATACAGAGCATATGGTATAACTAGTTACCTGAACAGTGTCCTTCACATGCTTATATACAAGAGAGGGTTTTACACAGTTACAAGATGCAGGAATACCGGTTCAATGCAGTATATAATGTTTTGTTTAGATTAACTAAGACCTACGTCAGAAATGATCATGCTTGTCATATGTCTATCTCCATAGAGGCTGAATCATCATGTTAATCGTTGTCACATAGCTATCATATGCCTAAAACAGTGTGTCCTGATGCTCTTCCAGGTCATCATACTTCCTGTTACGTACACAGCTGGGCCTTTATTATCATGTGCTACTCTGGTATTGGAAGAGTACATTCAGTATTTTCCCAACAAAATGTCTGCCAGTTTTAACCTTCCAGAGCAGTTTAACCCACATTGGTTATTTTAACAGCATTGAAAAGAGGGGCAGAAAGGGAGTTAATGCACGATTAAAAAGCACCACTTCTTGAAATATGATCTCTGTTTTGAACAGTCCCTGAAAAGACAGATTGCCCAGAGGGACTCCATCACCTCTGCAACCACACTGGCCCTTCAAAGCCTGGACCAGAAGAACATGACTGGCATTGGAGACCTGAGAGGAAGAGTGGCCAGGTACAGCAGGTCCTCTGGGTCAAATAATGTCTGTAAACACTGTGGTACAAACTGTTTAGTTTGAACAAATACAACATTGAGGGCTGAATACTAGCACAGTAAACTTTCCTCTGAAGTATTGTTTAAAGGTATTGCGCAATTATTTAGACCCAGATCTGCTGCACAGTTGACAATCTATGGGTAGGGCTTAGGTTTCTTGCAGATATCTTACTTGTTTATCTCTGATGAGGTCTGCTTCCTGTCTGGCAGCTCTTCACAGTCTCACAATTTCAATTCCAGCGTGGCATCCCCTCCGACACTCCAACAGAAACAAACACTTTGATTGCACACATTCATTATTTTGTTCTCACCAGAGTGAAGTTTTCTGATTAGCTCTTATGTGATGTCTATGAAGATGGTGCATATGAGATTGCATTCCCGAAAGGAGGCTGTCACAATTAGGATTGTGTTTGGATTAGAAATGTTCCTCTGTAGCTACCTAGGCTGAATTATTTTTGAATAGCCATGGCCATCATTGCTCAATACATGGAGATGATTTCGCCTAATTCCTCATCACAAAGAGACAATAGATGAATGTACTTTGGTGAACATCTTATTTCAAAAATAGGCTCTTCTCCTCTGTGGTGTTCAAGATGTTAGTGGTGAGAGAAGATATTGCCTATGACTCAACAAACAGCTGATTTACTGTATAGTCCACTAAATGCTGTATAAAACCTCACCTACTCAGCCTAATGACCTCTCTAGTCATAAATAATCAAGTAAGTTATGGGCCAGTGGTTGTTGATGAACTGTATTGTTTTGTGAATCCCTTTATGGTAGAGATGAAGTGCTCCACAGGGAAATAACCCTTATTTCACACTGGGCATCTTAACATAATAACTAGCTGCTAGTTTTGGTTGTTGATCTAAGATTGTGCTTTATCATGAATATTGAAGAGAGTGTTTGCTGGCTGATGGCATCTTAAATTTAGCACAGGAAGGCTGAGAGCTATATTGCAATGTTGACAAAGTTCATCGTCATTACATAAACGGAACGAGAAGCAGGATGTCACATGAGAGTATTTTAGTTATCTTCTGATTGCGTTAGTGATAAGTTTATAAAACTAGTATACTTTTTATTTGGTAGCTTTGCCTGTGTCTTTATTAGTATTTCATCCTCAGATACAAACATACTTCCAATGAAAAGTTCAAATGTGTTTGTTCACTGTTTGTCCTCGATAAACTAACATTGCTTAATTATCAGCAGAGCCTTCTTCTGGTTTCCATTAGTAAGCCTTGGAAAGTATTGACTATGTTCACTTCAGAAAAATCTCCCTGACTTGACACCTTTCCCTCAACTTTCTTCCATCCCGCTTTTCTCATTCAGTTTCCCTCTCTTCTTCCTCACCTATTCTTTTAGGTGTGATGCCGCCACCTGCAAGCTGAGCGCTGACGTGAGCTCTGGGGAGCGGTGGCTGATTAGACTGCAGCAAGAGGGGGCAGCTCAACGAGATGAAGGTCAAGGTGAGAGACTGAGTGTGAAGGCTGACAAATGGTCTGGAAGATGAAATGTAGTTAGTCTTCAAAGTCAGTCCTTCATTACATAGTTAGACATACAAACATTCTTCTCAGTTTCTGCGACATTCAGGACATCAAAACTTGGAAGACACTGAGATTCCCATCGGCTCCTGCTGTACTTAAGGTATAGTTCTAATTAGAAAGGGTGAGTATTATAACACACACAACTTAAATGATAAACAAGTGAAGAAAGTTAGCATTATCATAGTGAGCATGTTATCTTGCTGGCATTGGCATTGAGCTCAAAGCACCACTTTAATAATAATAATAATAATAGATTTAATTTGTTAGCGCTTTTACAGGTGCTCAAAGACGCTTTACATATATAGTGAAGATAAAATAAAATAAAGGAACAACAAATAAATATATAGTTAAAGTTAAAGTCAAATAATACAAAAACAATCACACATTAAAAGCCAGATTGAAGAGGTGAGTTTTTGTAAGTTGTTTGAAGGTGGTGAGGTTAGTGCAGTCGCTGATGGGTTGTGGGAGTGAGTTCCAGAGGGAGGGGGCAGCGACGGAGAAGGCTCTGTCCCCCCAGGTCCGGTGATTGATGCGGGTGGGGATGGATAGGAGGTTGGCTTCTGATGAGCGGAGGCAGCGGGAAGGGGTGTGGTGGTGCAGCAGGTCTGTGAGGTAGGGGGGGGGGGGCCTGATTGTTGAGGGCTTTGTGAGTAATCAGGAGGACTTTGAAGTTGATTCTTTGACGGACGGGGAGCCAGTGGAGGTTCTGGAGGATGGGAGTGATGTGGTCTCGGGAGCGGGTGTGGGTGAGGAGGCGGGCAGCAGAGTTCTGGATATGTTGGAGTTTATTGAGGAGGTTGGATGGTATGCCGTAGAGAGGATGCTATTGCAGTAGTCGAGTCGTGATGTGATGAATGCATGAATCAGGGTTTCAGCAGCAGAGGAGGAGAGTGATGGGCGGAGACGGGCAATGTTTTTGAGGTGGAAAAAGGCGGTCCTGGTGATGTGATTGATGTGGTGGTTGAATTTGAGCTGACTGTCGAAGATGACTCAGAGGTTGCGGATGTGAGGGGGGGGGGGGGTAGAGTGTGGCTGTCAATGGTGAAGTTGAAATTCTGGATGGCTTTGGTACGGGATGGGGGGCCGATGATGATGATGTCTGATTTGGCACTGTTCAGTTGGAGATAGTTTGTTTGCATCCATGCTTTTATTTCTGAGAGACAGTTGGTGAGAGTGGAGTGTGTTGTGGGGGTGATGGTTTTTGTTGAGATATAAAGTTGGATGTCATCGGCGTAGCAGTGAAATTGAAGGTTGTGGCGACGAATTATTTTGCCAAGGGGGAGCATGTAGAGGATGAAGAGGAGGGGGCCAAGCACCGAACCCTGGGGGACGCCTTGGGACAGAGGATCAGTGGAGGAGGTGCAGTTGTTGATGTTGATAAACTGATGTCTGTCGGTGAGGTAGGATTTTAGCCAGGAGAGTGCAGTGTCGGTGATGTTGAGTGATGATTCGAGGAGGGATAGCAGGATGGTGTGGTTGATGGTGTCGAATGCTGCGGTGAGGTCGAGGAGGATGAGGATGTTCAGGTTGCCGGAGTCAGAGGAGAGGAGGAGGTCGTTTGTGATTTTCAGTGTTTCTGTGCTGTGTTTTGATCGGAAACCGGATTGAAATGGCTCAAAGAGATAATTGGAGCTGAGGTGGGCTTTAAGTTGTGAGGCAACGACACGTTCAAGTATTTTTGACAGAAAGGGGAGATTTGAGATGGGCCGGAAGTTGGACATGATGTCAGGTGTGAGTCCAGGTCTTTTGAGAATGGGTGTGACAGCAGCCAGTTTGAGAGAGGGGGGAACTGATCCAGATCTGAGTGAGGAGTTAATGATGGTGGCGATGAGTTGGGAGATGGCAGGGAGGCTCTCTTTAACAAATTTGGAGGGCATTGGGTCAAGTGTGCAGGTGGAGTTAATTCCAGTCATGAAGTCGGACAGTTGCATGGGGGTCACAGGGGAGAAGTGGGACAGGGGCTGTGAGGTGAAGGGGGGGGAGCCAGGAGGGGAGGTGGGGGGGTGCTGATGAGGGTGTCAGATTGCTGTAAATGTTGCTGATTTTGGTTTGGAAAAACGAGAGGAAGGAGTTGCACTGTTCTGTGGTGAAGGACGAGGTGGCGTTGTCACAGGGTTTGAGAAGTTTGCTGATGGTGAAGAACAGACGCTTGGGGTTGCTGGAGCCAGACTGAATGAGTTGTGAGTAGTAATTAGACCGGGCTTCTTTGAGTGCATTACTGTACTGCTGGAGATAGTCTTTGTAGATTTGAAGATGGACTGTTAGTGTGGTTTTCTTGTGTTGGCGTTCAAGTTGACGTTTCCTTGATTTCATTTGGCGGAGTTCGGGGGTATACCAGGGGGCGGAGTGTATGAAAGAGACATTTTTGTTTTTGTGGGGGCCAGTTCATTGAGACAGAAGGAGAGGGGTGCTGTTATAATAGTCCACAAGTTCAGATGGGTTTTCAGAAAGTGGGGGGGGGGGGGGGGGGGGGGGGGGAGACAGACATCTTGCAGGTAATGGAGGCAGTGATTGCTGAAGGTGAGATGGATTTGAGATTTCTGTAGGTTATTGTGCGTTTTTGCTTTTGGGCGGGGATGGGGACTTTACCTTTAAGCAGAGACTCAAATAAATGTTTGCATGGTTTTTGACTCTTAATCTTATTCTCATATGTCTTAATTTATGCCACTTTTTACACTTAATAAAGTCGACCACTCTTCCCAGCTAGAAATGTTTGGTTCTAAAAACATTCTGAGAATGTTACAGTCATTGTTCTAGGAAGGTTTTTAGCGGGAAGTTTTTGTTCGGTTCCCAGAACGTTCTTCTGAAAGGTAGGATAACGTTCTCTAAAAACATTCTTAAAATGTTTGGTGATAACCTTCTTCAAATGTTTTTGATAACATTGTTAGAACATTATGCCCTACTATAATTAAAACGTTTTCAGCAGGAGGTTTTATTTTGGTTTCCAGAATGTTCTTCTGAAAGGTAGGATAACGTTCTCTAAAAACATTCTTAAAATGTTTTTGATAACATTGTTAGAACATTATGCCCTACTGTTTTTAAAACATTTTCAGCTGCAAGTTAGATTTGTTATGTTGCCAGAATGTTATTATTTTAGAGAAGGATAACATGGTTTATATTAAAAAAAAGTATGCAAATGTTCTGTGGTAACAATTTACTAAAATATGTTTACATTATTAGAACATAAAGACATAATATTCCTGTAATTGTTCAACTCAAAATTCCTGGGTAAGTGGACTGACCACTGTGGTCATTAGGATGATTTTGATAGTTTACTTAACTATTGGAATTTGACTATTAAAGGTGGGGTAGGTAAGTTTCAGAAACCGGCTCGAGTGCACTAAAATTTGAAAGTACACAGCCGAAAATAATCCGCCCGTTCCTTCAGACTTCCTTACAGAGCACCTCCTCCAACACACATGAACGCGCACATGACGTCAGCAGACTGGTGAAAGTGGCCGCCTGTTGCTGGCGAGTCTATACCTCATTCACACCAACGGTGTTTCAGGGCCGGTTCGGAGCTGGAGCTTGAAAAGCACCGGGTTTTCCTCTTCACACCGCAGCGGAGCAGCCTCTTAGCTCGGGAATCCGGTTCGTTTCAAGTACCAAAAAATTGTCCGGCCAGAGCAAAAGCACCACATACATCGAGGTGGGGGCAGGGGCAGAGACAGATCAACTCCTGAACTATAACAAAAAGCCCGCGTTTTATCCAGTTTGTACCATGGTTTGTACACAACGATGGAGAAACTTAATCCTTGTGTGGTGTTCGGGTCACATTGACCCGATTTCTTTGGAAATTACTCAATAACCAGCTTGGCTGCAGTAAAAAACTTAAAACGAAATGTTCGAACTTAAACATAAAGACAGATAACAGGCTCATCACAGACAAACTGGATGTGGCCAAGTACTTGAACATTTTTTTCACAAACATAGCCACAACTCTTGTAAATAAATTACCCTCCCACTCAGGGCTTTTTGGAGTAGATCACATCATGACCTACTACAAAAACCTAGGGGTACGCATAGATGATTTCAGTCTAGCAAGGGTAACAACAGCAGAGGTACTCATTAAACTGAGCGCCCTCCAACCTAACAAGGCCACTGGCCACGACAATATCCCCTCCAAATTCCTCAGAGACACAGCAACCGCCATCTCACCAGTCATAGCTCACATAATTAACCTCTCCATAAAACAGGGAAAAGTACCCAAAGACTTCAAAATTGCAAGAGTAACCCCCCTGCACAAAAAGGGCAACAAATTGGACCCAGGCAACTACTGCCCTATTTCTATACTTACCTCCATCTCGAAAGTCATGGAAAAAATAGTATATGAACAGGTCGAAAAGTATACCTCGCGGAAAAGAAACTAATCTATGAATTTCAATCTGGCTTTAGAACATCCCACTCCACTGACACATGCCTTCTTTATTTGAGCGACCACATCAAACAAGAGGTGGACGAGGGCAAGTACTGCGGCATGGTGATGCTGGACCTACAAAAGGCTTTCGACACTGTCAATCACCCCATTCTGATTGACAAGCTAAAAGCAATTGGTTTTGATAAACTATCGGTGAGCTGGATGCGGTCCTACCTGGAGGGGAGAGAACAGATGGTGGAGGTAAACGGTACTCTGTCCCCCCCCCTCCCAGTGAGCTGTGGTGTTCCACAAGGAAGCATACTTACCGTTACTGTTCCTAATTTATGCAAACGACATGTCATCAGCATGTGACTGCAACTTGTTCCTGTTCGCGGACGACTCAGCCCTGCTGATCTCTGACAGGAGCAGGTTGAAAAAACCCTCAGCTCCGAGCTCGGCAGAATCTGCACCTGGCTCGCCGATAATAAATTATCATTACACCTGGGTAAAACAGAGTCCATTCTCTTCGGTTCGAAACATAATCTCAGCAAATCCGACGACTTCTCAGTTGCAGTGGGTGACATTGTCACAAGTAAGAAGGAAATTACATACCTAGCATCTATTCTTGAGGCAAACCTCTCCTGTGACAAAATGGCATCCAATGTAATAAAAAAAGTCAATCAACGAACTAGATTCTTGTACCGGATCTCCTCTCTGGTAAACAAAAACACCCTGAAAACTTTGGCAGGAGCACTCATTCAAGGGTACTATGACTATGCTTGCACATCATGGTACCATAGCACCTCCAAGGCACTAAAAATAAAACTTCAAACATCGCAGACTACTGCTTGACCTTTCATCTAGAACCCACCTCACCTCTGCCCACTTTGACAACCTAGGATGGCTTAGAGTAGACGACAGAGTACAGCTACTTGCAATGGGCCTGGTCTACAAGATCCACTACACCTCTATGGTACCCATGTACATGTCAAAATTCTTCCCAAAGGTCAAGGAATACCATGATCATAACACCAGAGGGAGCTCCACAAATCATGTGAAACCCAGATTTGGCACAAAAAAGGGGGAATACACGTTTCGCAATTATGCCACATCAAGGTGGAACGCTCTTCCCACAACTGTAAAGGAAAGTAAAACTATACTTACCTTCAAAACCTCTCTTAAAGAGCACCTTTGGGGGAGAGCATTGCAAAACTGGCCCCGGTAATGGTACAAATCTCAACCTGTCTACAATGGACAGCTTCCCCCCCCCCCCCCCATCTATGTATATACTCGCATTTTAGACTCTGTTACTAACTGTATATCTGTAGACTTGGTATGTCTTAAATGTCCGGTTAGGATGTATTAGAACGAAATCTAAAATGAAAATTGTAATAAGCAATCTGTATGTAAAAAACCACCTGTATGTAAATTGTAAATAAGCCATCTGTATGTCAAATATGTCTTATATGTCTTAAATGATATGATGAATTGGAAATGGGGGACCCTGATGTAAACAAGACGAAAGTCTTTCTCTGGTCTGCATCCCCTTAACAATTGTATGTTTTGAGCTGTACTGTACTGTACCCAATATACAAGCTGTTAATAAACTTTTCTATCAATCAATCAATCATTTCCATTTTCAATGAATAAAAAAAAATATAAGGATATTTTCGTTCAACCTGAAACTCAATGGCCGGGGCTTATTTATTGTGAAGGACATGTGGAATTGTTTTTATTTTCTGACCCGGATACAATACCAGGACAGACAGAGAAAAACACACAGAAACACAAAAACACACAAACTAAAGACACAATTGTATGCATAGAGAAGCTGTTTGATCCTGTTTTCCCTTGATATTTACCCTTTGCAGTGTGTACACAAAACTATCCTAGAACATTATAAACATTTGAGATCTTCCAGAAATGTATAAACATTTTACATTTTCTCGCACTGTCCCCCTCGCACCTGCACGCCGGAGGAGGGACTAAACAGAGACATAACCTCAGTGTAGTTACAGTGTAGTGCAGAACTACAATTATCTACCAACAAAATGGCCAAAAGATATTCTGCGCAGAGAGCCTTGGAGCTAATAATGGATGAGAGTGAGTGGAATGCATTTTTACAGTGCTTCTCAAAGTGTGGTCCGCGGACCCCCTAGTGGTCCGTGAGTATATTGGTAAAATTTCACATTTGAAATAAATACATTTATTTAAGTTTTTCGCACTCTCGCGGGAATATCTCCGCAATGAAACGAGCTTAAGTTTAACTTTCGATTGCATGATATAGCCCAGATAAGCACCTTCATCACACATGTTGCCACTTGTTTGTACAATTTTCAGGCGATTTGTAAAAAACGATGTGTTTTTGGATATTTGTGGAGTTAGGTGGTCCGCGAGTGTTTTTTTATTGGTTAAGTGGTCCTTGGTATGAAAAAGTTTGAGAAACACTGCATTAGAAGAACACGGTGAAGTGGAACAGGAATACATTTCTGAAGATGTGGAGGTAAACTCAGAATTTGACAGCAAATTGGAAGATGAACTTGACTCATAGCCAGCTGCTGGAAGACCCCAACAGCCAGCCGCCAGAAGACCCCCACAGTCAGCTTCTGGAAGACCCCCACAGCCAGCTGTGAGGTCTGTGGACCCTCAAAGGACTCCAAGACACAGACTACATGCAGCAACTGCAACAAGTACATCTGTGTTAGACACAGGAAGAAGTTCTGTACATCATGTGTTACCTAAACGGACTTGCCCATTGACTCACATGATGTTCTGCAGCGTCACTTCATCAATATATTTTTCAGATATACTGTATTTTATGAATAGTGACTGTTAATTGTTTTTATTTGCTTTGTGTTTATATCTGTTCTATGTAATTTATATGGATGTTTCATTCTCTCTATATTTCACAGCCAAATACTTTTGGATGTGTGGTTCTTGTGTTCCAATTGCTGATTAATTTCTTTATTTCCTTCAGGGCTTTGATTATTATATGACAGATTAAAAATAATAAACATTAATGAAAAAATGTTTCATTTACATTAGTCCTAGAAAAGCATGAGCAAAATGTAAACTTAGTTTTTATTACAGTGTATTTTTTTTTAACATCAATTACATTTTTAGCACAAAAAACGATGGACACTTCCATTGTTAAATTTGATCTAGCAAAGAGTATTTTCAAAAACTAATCATATATTTCATTTATATTGTTGGGGAATGAGTTAAAGACAATATATATAAGGAATTGTGCATGTTGAATTTGGTTCTGTATTTTTTTTAAACCCTGAAATATGTCCCGGGTCAATTTGACCCGAACATTACCAAAGGGTGCGAAATGTGAACATAACACAAGGGTTAACAAGAGTTTCAGTGTTTCTGCCATAGACTGTATATAAAGGTTTCTGCTCATGGTGAAGCAACGTGTCTCCGTGTTAAGGGGGACTGAGCATTCACGTTGATCACCTCTCATTATAACTCATTATAAATCTATAAAACTATAAATATTAAACTTTACTTCACGTGTTCATTTGAGAACAGCTGTTACATACCTGGGTGAAGGTTACAGTTAATTTAAATGAAAGATACAACGTTACTCCACACTCATGGTTTAGTCCACCTTAAGAAATAAGACCGACCTCGGAAGCAGTTGTGTTTTAAAAAAACCTTAATTGACACGAGTACACTTTTTTATAAGAATATAACTAAACCACAGAAATGACTCCGGAAAAGCTGCAGATAGAGCCATAAGAAATGAATGCAACTGATTTAATCTGCGCGGTTTGGCTTTATGAAGCAGTCACGCAAACGGTTACGTCATGACGCAAACGATGACGCAACGACGCATTACCAGTCGGACTCTGGGCGGTGTGAAAAGAGCCAGAGCTAAACCGAAGAACTGGTTCTGAACCTAAAAAGCCCTAGCACGGAGCTTGAACCGGAGTTGCGTTGGTGTGAATGAGGTAATTGAAGTACTGCTGCAATGCACGCCCAATGACGGCACGCCCAATGAGGGCACGAGATACATTTGTGCGTGCACGAGATGGAAGGCTGACAGACAGGGCAGCAATCCAATCCGGCCGGCTAAACGGATTGGTTGTACTTTTTACAGTATTACGGCTTCCACCGATGAATTTTTTTATGGATTTTTGTCAAAGCACTTACGATATTCATTGCTATCGGGATGTTAAGAGCATTCCATGGAATATAACAAAAAGTGTATCTCGAGCCGGTTTCTCAAACTTACCTACCCCACCTTTAACACATGTAAAAGGATGACTCGGAATCAGCTGGTGAAAGTAACATTTGTTTATTAGAAAAGGGGAGCTGGGAGTGGAGGTTGGTTATGGCGGCAGTGGGAAACAGTTGTTCCAGGGTGGGTAGAGAGGCCTGGCTGGTCTTGGGAGTGTGGAAGGCCTTGGATTCCTCCTGGGAGAGACACAAAAATGAGTGTGAGGCAAAAGCAGGCAAAGTTGTCAAAGAATATGCTGGTAAAAAGGTAGAGCGGCACGCAACCGTAAACCATTCCTAGAACAATGAATGGTAACATTCTCAGAATGTTTTTAGAACCAACAATGTCTAGCTGGGAACTCAGACATGCCTACGCAAACGTGCAATATCATGAATTACGTGCTTGTTTTTTTCTAAAAACGAAAATGTGGTGACATCAGATTTCTTTTAAACATCCTTTTCAAACAAATGCAGCAAGTTTGTTTTTTAAAGCGCACTACAAATAAATCTGACGTTGACCATGACCCTGTTAATATTTCGCATCACAGGAACATTTTATAAAAAAATAATAACCTCCTGAAAACATTATCCAAATGTTTCAAAATATTCTTCTTTGGTTATCATGTAACATTGAGGGACCGTTTTATAAAGAATATCTTTAATGTGTTACCCAACAACGTCCAAAACACATCCTTAGAATGTTGGAGGCAAAACGTTCCACCTTTGTTAACATATCACATTAAAGGAACATTTTTATAAAACCCTTCTGTCATCTCAGGCCTCAATAACATCCTGAAAACATTTTCAGAATGTTGCATTGAAAATGTCCTTCATTTGTTATCATGTAACATTGAGGGAACGTTTTATAAAGAACATCTTTAATGTGTTACCCAACAACGTCCAAAACACATCCTTAGAATGTTGCAAGGAAAACGTTCCACCTTTGTTAACATATCACATTAAAGGAATGTTTTATAAATAAACTTTCTGTCATCTCAGGCCTCAATAACATCCATAAAACATCCTCTGAATGTTGCAGTTAAAACGTTATGTCTTAGTTAACCTTAAACCTTATAGGAACATTATTTGAAAAAATAAACATCCTAAAAAGGTTATTTGAACATCAGATTAAGACACACACGCACTCTCTCTCACACACAAAGGGTGTTGAAACTGGGATTAATTTACTCTAGTTTCACATTAAGGAAATCATTTTATTCTGTGAATGGATTAAGGTATAACAAGGGGATTATGCTACCTGAATGAACAAACATAATTAACTGCGAGAATACACAGGGGGAGTATTTGCTGTTTATCCTCGAGAGGATGGCAAGCGTTGATGTGTTGGAGCTTATTCCTGCGGAGTGAGACTGGTCTTATAAAATAAATTCAGAGGCTCAACCACACTTTCTGAAAGAGGTAAATGAGATGTGAAATTAATTCATACAGGGATTTCAAGGTGACTCAATTAAAACAGTGTTACCTGCCTTTGAGGTCAAATTATCTTTACAATATTAAAAAAATTCTTAAAATACTGGTTTAGGACAGATACAGTTTGTAACATGTTATAATACTCTCCAGCATTTAACTAAATCCAAAGCTGACCATAAATGACCTTAACACTCACACTGATTCACCCTGCTCTCAGTTGTGTTTGTGGCGCAGCAAGGTAGATCACTGTGATGGCAGCACATTAGCTGTGGAGCAGTGGTCAAGAATGTGCCATTAAGGTAATTGAATACTCAGAGAAAGTGGGTCGCCGCTGTTAATCCCAGGCTTGACCAGCTACAGGAGTGGTGCAGTACCTCAATCACCTTGACTCAGCAGAAACTGTGGAGGGTAAAGGTCAGATCACTGAGGCTGCACCACAAGATAGTCCAACGTCACAGCATGTGCTTGTTTGTTTTTCCAGATTTATTATGATCTTGGAAAGCTGGAGGCCTCATTGTCAAAGCATTCCCAGAGCCAAAAGAGCTCCATGGCTGATCTGCAACTTAAACTACTCAATGACAGGTAAGGCCATGCATTAAAGAGGAAGCTCAACCCAAACACACATAGGTTACTTGTTTATCGCAGTAAAGCATGTGTTAGTCTGATTTATTTGTATTTATTCCCCTTTTTCTTTCCATGGACTGACACCCATGCACAGTGGTACTTATGTAGATGAACTGCAACATAGCTGTGATTATGAGTAAAAGTAATAATATAAATAAATAATAAAAAAAGGCATCAGATGACTCACAACTAATACTGCACAAAGCAGCTTTCCTCATAGTGCACGTGGTTTATGAGGGATTTTATACTGCCAGAATATATTCAAACCTATGAAATTGAGGGAGAGGGGAAGAGGTTATAATTTCAACATTCAAGATGGTTCTCTAGTGTTACTTTTAAAACAACTGTATTGTAGAAACATCTGTGAGTGTGCTGCTGGTGACTGGGATAGTCATTTTATTTTTGAATTAGCATTTCAGCAGCATTACCTAATTGATTGATTAATGCTACCTTTTTATTCTGGCCAGATCCACATAACAAATAATAATCCAATATTTAATTTGATTATCAAATACTACCCCCTGTGAGTCCTCCTGACTCATAAAAAGTCTCAATCAGCAGCAATATGAAGAACGAATCACATAGTTCTGCAATGGTAGAACAGAAACAGAGAGACATGAATGAGGAATATGCTCTATTTAGTATTGCGGTGGATCTTTTGTGGAAACCAGGTCACTGATGATGCTGGAACCAAAAGAACAGTAGATAAAATAGATGAAAAGCAACACTGTCTGTGATTCTGAGCCAGGTGGAGTAATGACAAAACAAATAGTTTGCGATATTATATCTTCCATCCATCCAGGGTGCTCCTTGTTTATTTACTCTCATGTACATCTATCCCAAAGTGGGACCTCAGAAGATTTGTTTCAGACAAGCTCAAAAACACGACAACAGCAAAGAATGGAGGCACACTGACCCTGTTACAATTTTAGTCTCATTTTACGTGGCCAAATCAGCCGCCCTGTTGTCTAGTATTCACCGCCTTAACAACTGTCAACATTAGGTAGATTAGCCAGCCTGGGTGGAGATAACATTGAGGTGTCTCTATAGCAGCAGACCTAGCTATATAATTTCTTTAGCAGCAGTCTGATTTGTCTTGCTGTTAAACACAGACACACATAAAGTCCCGACATGGGTCTCATTGATTTTCCCATTTAGCATGAATTCTTAGTATTGAGAGGAAAGTAGGTACATTTAATTGAAGTGCCAATATGTTTTTTTACATTATAGAAATATTTGATGACACGCATTGTGTGTTACGGTACAATACAACGACTGCAAACAGCTAACCTATATAAATGGCAACCGGTCCAATACAACAGGGAGATTTGTTTTGCTTTACCAAAGAAACAGCGCAGTAAGATCAACATCAAGGGTTTATTTACTTTTTATGCACCATGTAAGTCTATGCATCTCTAGTATACACATATAGTTGCAGCACCTCACAACAGAGTAAAAGTGTTCTGCCTACTAAGGCTGGCACCAAGTAAGTTTAAACCAAAAAATTCAACATAATGCATCCTGCTTTTGACATAAACTGGTAGAACATCAATTATTGATTTATGATGGATGATTGTTTTCACACCAGTGCTTATTCCAATGCCAAGCAGCAAGCATGAGCTGTATAAAATGGGCCTTACATGAAGCCTTCTAGGTAGCCTATTTGTAAAAACCTTTCTAATTATCTAATCTTATCTACTAATGGCTTTTTAGTGTCTTGTTTGAAATAAAGAAATTCAAATTGCAGCTTCTTAACTAAGAGCCTTCTAGATTATTTCCTTTTTATTCCTGATGATTTTGCCTCCTTCTTCACTGACAAAATTCAGAAAATCAGACAAGCAGTCAGTGCCTCTGCATCAGGAACAGCAAATGTGTTGTCTCTGTGTCCACCTAACATCAATTCAAACACCATGACACAATTCCATCAGATTAATGATAAAAACATTATTCAACTTCTGAAATCCTCCTCCTGCTGCCTTGATATTATTCCAACAGGATTTTTTAAAGATGTTTTGCCTTGCATGGCCTCAGATCTACTTCATATAGTAAACAAATCTCTTCACTCAGGTATTTTTCCACAGGCCCTGAAAACTGCAGTCATTAAACCGCTCTTAAAAAAGAATAATCTAGATGCTTCAGTAATGAACAATTACAGGCCCATATCAAACCTCCCATTTCTAGGTAAAATCATTGAAAAAGTTGTTTTTCAACAGTTGAGTAATTTCTTGCATTTAAATAACTGTTTTGATGTGTTCCAGTCAGGATTTCGTCCAAACCACAGCACTGAGACTGCTCTTGTAAAGGTCTTCAATGACATCCACTTAAACACAGACAGTGGCAGAACTTCAGTGTTAGTATTATTAGATCTCAGTGCTGCGTTTTGACACTGTTGACCACAGCATATTACTAGACCGACTGGAAAACTGGGTGGGACTTTCGGCAACAGTTCTAAATTGGTTTGAATCCTACTTAAAGGACAGAAACAACTTTGTTTCTATAGGTAAATACATATCTGAGTTGACAAATATGACATGTGGGGTTCCTCAAGGCTCCATCTTGGGGCCTCTTCTCTTTAACATCTACATGCTACCACTGGCTCAGATAATGAAAAACAACAAAATAAGTTACCATAGCTATGCAGAGGACACACACATTTACGTAACAATTTCACCAGGAGACTATGCTCCAATTCAAACACTGAGTAAGTGCATTGAACAAATCAATGACTGGATGTGTCAGAACTTTCTCCAATTAAACAAAGATAAAACTGAGGTAATGGTTTTTGGAGCCAAGTCAGAACGTATAAAAGTTAGCGCTGAGCTTCAGTCTGCAATGTTCAAAACAACAGATAAAGCCAGAAATCTAGGTGTAGTCATGGACTCTGACCTGAGTTTCAACAGTCACATTAAAACAGTTACTAAATCAGCCTACTATCACCTAAACAATATATCTAGGATTAAAAGACTAATGTCACAGCAGGATTTGGAAAAACTTGTCCATGCTTTTATCTTCAGTAGACTGGACTACTGTAATGGTGTCTTCACAGGTCTCACTAAAAAATCTATTAGGAAGCTGCAGCTGATTCAGAACGCTGCTGCTCGAGTCCTCACTAACACTAAGAAAGTGGATCACATCACTCCTGTTCTGAAGTCTTTACACTGGCTTCCTGTGTGTCAAAGAATAGATTTCAAAATACTGCTGCTGGTTTATAAAGCACTGAATGGTTTAGGCCCAAAATACATTTCTGACCTCCTGCTAAATTATGAACCATCCAGATCTCTCAGGTCTTCAGGGACTGGTCAGCTTTCTGTCCCCAGAGTCAGAACTAAACATGGTAAAGCAGCGTTCAGTTATTATGCTCCAAATATCTGGAACAAACTCCCAGAAACCTGCAGGTCCGCTGCAACTCTGACTACTTTTAAATCCAGGCTGAAGACTTTTCTTTTTGTCGCTGCTTTTAATTGAACTATTCATATCTTAGACTGCACTGTAACTTTTATCCATGTACTTTTTCTTTTAATGTTTAATTGAACTATTAATATCTTAGACTGCACTGTAACTTTTATCCATGTATTTTTTCTTTTAATGTTTATTTTATTAACTTTTCTTTTTAATGACTGATTTTAAATGCCATTTTCTTAATGTCTTTCATTTTTTGTAAAGCACTTTGAATTGCCTTGCGTTGAAAAGTGCTATATAAATAAACTTGCCTTGCCTTGCCTTGCCTTGCCTTGCCTTGCCTTGCCTTGCCTTGCCTTGCCTTGCCTTGCCTTGCCTTGCCTTGCCTTGCCTTGCCTTGCCTTGCCTTGCCTTGCCTTGCCTTGCCTTGCCTTGCCTTGCCTTGCCTTGCCTTGCCTTGCCTTGCCTTGCCTTGCCTTGCCTTGCCTTGCCTTGCCTTGCCTTGCCTTGCCTTGCCTTGCCTTGCCTTGCCTTGCCTTGCCTTGCCTTGCCTTGCCTTGCCTTGCCTTGCCTTGCCTTGCCTTGCCTTGCCTTGCCTTGCCTTGCCTTGCCTTGCCTTGCCTTGCCTTGCCTTGCCTTGCCTTGCCTTGCCTTGCCTTGCCTTGCCTTGCCTTGCCTTGCCTTGCCTTGCCTTGCCTTGCCTTGCCTTGCCTTGCCTTGCCTTGCCTTGCCTTGATGACTTTGCAGGATGTCAGGGGAACTGAAGGGAGCCAAGGAGCAGACCGATTATTTGAAGAAGTGGACAGAACAGCTCAATAGTTTGGCCCAGAATCATGCAGATCGCAGCCAGGAGCTCCGCACACAACTGCAGGACAAAATGGTACGGCAGCTGACAGTATGACCAACAATTGAATTCCACAATAACAACTTGCAAGTACAAATCAGGCTTTATTCAGAATAAAGTTTATCTGTAAAATGTCTCTTCATCTGTCTTTGTTATGCCCCATTTATTATACTATTAGGACCTGCAAGATATATATTTCATTGTGAGTGGTGTTAGTTCAACAACTCTTTTCGAGTTGTCACTCTTTACATTTAAAAATGATAATAAAGAGAGACAGATGGTGAGAAAGCTTCAGCTAAAGAGAGTCCTTTCTATGGGTGAGTTATTCAAGATGCCATGAGAGACATTTTTAAGCAATGATCATTAAATTGACATGAGACAGGTGCTATAATGACAGACTTAAAGTAATATACCAAAAATAAATATGGAAATTAAGTTGTAAATCTTGCAGTACCTTTTAAAACCATGATTTAAAAATTGTATTCAAGACTCGTCACATACAGCTCAATGGTTGAAAACAGTGATGTGTGTTTGAAGTTTTAGTTGTTATATGTTTGTTCTGTATTCAGTTAGAGGCAGAATCTAGATTAGCTGTGCGGCTACAGGCTCTGGAGGTGCGTGTGGAGCAGTTTGAGGCCCAGCAGGATCAGGCAGACCGGCGTCAGTCAGATCATCTGAAACGCTCTGAAACAAAACTGAGTAAGAGAATGAACTCGGTGGAGAGCAGCCTTCATCAAGAGCTGCAGCTGCTCAAACAAGAATACCACAAAGGTGGGTTAGCACTGTCTGTACCAAGCTGTCATCAGTGGGTAAACACACACATATGTTCCATATACGTCAAGGAAAATGCTCACATGCAGGAAAGCTTCACAAAAGAGTCAGAAAAAGAGAGACAGACTGTAATTACTCATATTTTGAAGTGAACTGATTACTTGATTAAAACAGTTCATTTATTTCTCCCACAAATGAGACGCTTAATATCAGTTAACTTTATTTGAATTGTACTAACAATAAGGGCAGCAGGGCTTTTTACACAGGAGGCAACATAAGAAACGTATTAACTCTCACATCATGTTGTTTCATTAAATGTTTGCATTGTGTACAGATACTTTTAACAATATTGAAAAGTTTGTATACTACTCTTATCCCAGGTATCTTGAACTACTTGACAGGCCAGAATAGGATGTAAATTCATACATGTTGACTCATAAGTCTTACAACAGAGGTTAAAGCCTATATAAATTGTGTTTGAGCTACAGCTGCTTTGTGTGGCTACCTCAAATCTAATAAATGATGGGTTACAGTATGTCATGCACAACCATCTATGTAAGCCAGCACAGAGCTCCACTCTACATCAGGCTGCTGTTGATATCCATCCCCATCTCACTGATTTGCAAATAGGAGTCTCATTTCCCAGGAGCACAAGACCTCAAAACCTTTCCTACTTTCTGTCAACCTCTCTCAGTCTCCGGCTCTTATTCAATTCAATTCAATTCAATTCAAAACCTTTATTTATCCAGGTAAAATCCCATTGAGATCAATGATCTCTTTTTCAAGGGAGACCTGGAGCAGTAGGTTCCACAAGAAGACATAAAAACATAAACAACAGAACAACAAAAGGACATCATACAGCAAAATGTACAGGGATTACAATTTACATATTTAACCACATGTACAGGTACCAACAGCATCTGATTTTGTAGCATCCAACCGAGCTTTAAAAACATGTAGTGGTACTAGCTTGGTAATTTTCCATTCTTTTTGCAGACTGTTCCATGTTAGTGGAGCTGCACATCTAAAAGCTTTCTTCCCTAAGACAGTCCTAGCACTTGGCACATTTAATAAAACCACAGCATGCGATCTCAGGCAATAAGTACTTTCAATTCGCAGAGAGATCAAGGAGCAGAGATATAAGGTGGTAGTTTATCCAACATGGCTTTGTAAATGAAAAAGTACCAGTGACTGAGCCTCCGTACAGTAAGTGATGGCATAACCGCCTTGGTATACAGGGTACAGTGATGCGTAAGTGCTTTACAATTTGTCAAAAATCTCAGTGCACTGTGATACGCAGCATCTAACTTGCTCAGGTAATTGGCAGGTGCATTCATATATAACAAATCACCATAATCCAGCACAGGTAAAAAGGTCACAGTGACTAGCCTTTTCCTGGCCTCAAGCGAGAAACAGGACTTATTTCTGTAAAAGAAACCTAGCCTAACCCTCAGCTTTTTAAGCAGGTTATTGACATGAAGTTTAAAAGTGAGACAGTCATCAAGCCAGATACCCAAGTATTTGTAACAAGTAACCACTTCAAGTTGTATTTCTTGCGTAGTTACAATATCCAAAGCAGTCTCTGGTGTATTTTTAGCTTTAGCTTTCGAAAAGTGCCTTACCTTGGTTTTATCCACATTTAAAAGAAGCTTAAGCTCAGAGAGCTGAGCCTGAATAATGTTAAAAACAGCCTGTAATTTAACAACAGCCTCGTTAATCGAGGGACCTGCACAGTACATAACGGTATCGTCCGCATAAAAATGTAAGGTTGCTCCTTCGACATTTTCACCTAAACTATTAATATAGATAGAGAATAATAGTGGACCTAAAACTGAACCTTGTGGTACACCATTAGTGATGTTTAACCACTCAGAAGACAGCCCATCAAACTGAACACATTGGGACCTTTCAGAGAGGTAGTTTACAAACCACCCCACTGCATGGCTGGACATGCCTATACTGACCAGCCTTTGCTTCAAAATGCGATGATCGACAGTATCAAAAGCTTTGGATAGGTCAACAAATAGAGCTGCACAACTCTGCTTATTATCTAAAATACTCGTAATATCATTTACCACTTTCATTGTGGCAGTGATGGTGCTATGTTGCTTTCTGAAGCCTGACTGATGTTTAGACAGGATGTCATTTGTACATAAAAACTCCTTTACCTGTTCACTCACTAGGCGTTCAAGAACCTTGGCCAGAACTGACAATTTAGAGATGGGTCTATAATTGTTTAATAAGGTGGCCTCCCCTCCTTTTAGTAGTGGCAGGACATAAGCTGACTTCCATACTTTTGGGATTTTGTTCGTGCTGAGAGAGAGGTTAAAAAGAGTAGTAAGAGGTGGAGCAATAAAATCTGCAGCTATCTTTAAAAAGAAAGGTTCTACGTTGTCCGGACCAGCCGGCTTTTTAGGATCTAGCTTGGTTAAGACTTCACGAACAACATCAACAGTAAAAGGAGTAAAACTGAAAGGGTTTTCCAGACCACATTGTTCTGAGTCACCGACTGTGGTGTTCACAGAAGCAGAATTAGAAACAGAATGAAACAGAGAGCCACAGGACACAAAATGCTCATTAAAACAATTTAGTATGGTGGCCCTATCCGATATAGTGCCAGATACTGTGGTAAGGCACGGAGGTAGCTCATTACGGATATCACCGGTGGATATCGATTTTATGGCTTTCCAGAATTTTCTAGGGTTGTTCAGGTTCTTTGTGGTAACTGACAGATAATACTTAGATTTAGCACTTTTGACATGTGAAATGAAGCTATTTCTTAGCTGCCTAAAACGCAGCCATTCTACCTCTGAGCCTGAATTCCTAGCCTTTGTCCAGGCCTTGTTTCTCTCATGTAGGAGAATAGATAATTCAGCAGAAAACCAAGGATTTTCTCGTCCCTTCACTCTAAATTTACGCAGGGGTGCATGTCTATCTATAATTTCCATAAAACCAAGATAAAAATAAGACCATGCAGTCTCAACATCAGCACACAAATCGATTTTTCCCCAATCAAACCCAAACAGATCATGTACAAAACCCTGCTCCACAAAATGTTTTATGTCTCTCTTGATGATAATACGAGGTTTAACCTTTTGGACCTTAGTGTCCCTAATTGTGGCTACAACACAGTGGTCACTCAGATCATTCGCAAATACTCCCACAGCTGAGTATTTATAGGGAACATTAGTTAAAATGAGATCAATTAGGGAGGATTTATTTGGGGACTTAATATTAGGGCGAGTAGGACTGTCAACAATCTGAGTAACATTTAAAGAGATACAAAGGTTTTTAAAATCCTCTGACACTGCAGTTAACCAGTCCCAGTTAAAATCTCCAAGTAGCACTATTTCCTTGTAGTCTAGTTGCGATAAAAGATTTGCTAGCGAAGACAAGGAGTCTTTGACAGCTGAGGGGGGTCTGTAACAGCCCACGACCATGACCTGTTGACCCTTTGCCACTTCTATATTTAAGGCTAAAAATTCAAATTGCTTACTGATAGATTTGGAAACTACAGCGGTTACACTGAATATATTCTTAACATAAATGGCAACGCCACCACCTTTATTTGGCCGGTCGGTACGATACACATTAAAACCATTTAAGGCAATGTCAGAGGCCAAAATAGATTTGTTTAGCCATGTTTCTGATAAAACAATGACGTCAGCGTCAGTCGAGCTCGCCCAGATACGGACAAAATCTAGTTTACCTAACAGACTGCGCACATTCAAGTGGATGAAACCCAACCCAGACCTAGCTTTAAAATCAGCAGGAGTAGCGATCTGACTACTACTACTGGGCGGACCAGGGTTAGGTTGTACATTTCCTGACAGTTATTAAAGTGTAGATAAATACAAAAGAGGCAAAGACTCCCTGCAGTAAATAACAACAAGAGAAAACTGCTCTATGAATCACTGCTCTCAGTGCTAGAAAGCCATCCATCCAACATTCTATTTTAAGTATAGGATGAAAAGATGGACGGAGAGGGTATTAAATGGGAGAAAAGCAATACATAATTGATGAGTGTCGTAAATATACTTGGCAAGACAGGCGTGGAGTCAAAAAGAGAAGGATAGTGATTTAATATCCCATCATTGTTGGAAAAAGTGTGTCCCTCCACCCCACAGAGGGACTGTAGTCCCTGGATTATACTTCTTAGAGTAGATAAAGTCATGATAACCGATGAAAAATACATTAGGACGTAGAACTATATTAGTAACAGACAGCAGAAGAACAATAGAGAGAGAGCCAAACTGATTCTCTACACCCGGCTCACTTTTGAACAGGTTTCCTGTTGGTGCATGATGCCATCAAGTCCCTGAGACAGATAGGTGATATCAAATCCCACCTTAACAAGGAGAAGCTACAGAAGGATATCAGGCACGTCTGCAGCAAGGTGGCATGACTTGTGACATTATCAACTGAAGAGGAGCTCCAATGTTCCTGTCGTATCTATACTGAGGCAGTCGTCTTAAAGTTTGACAGCATGCCAGTTAGTTAGAGTGTTAACTGTTATCTCACTGACTTATATTCACATCTTATTAAATGAGCTCTCAGCTACCTGTGCTATTGCAACATGTAATTTAATCAATCTTCACAAGAATTATCACATGAGAGATATTTTCATTTAAAGTAGAAAAACCTTTTATATGTTTGAAATGTTTGGCAGCATGCGGACCTGCTTACGACAATTCATTGTGTTTCATTTTAAAAAGAGAAATGTAATCGTCCATCTTTTTTACTTGAACTCACCACATCTGTTTTTGTACTTTAGAAAATACAAGACTCAACCATGATTCAGCCATTTATACCTATTAACATACAAAATGATAATAAAAAAAAGTCAGAATTGTTTTCCAGATACCATTTTTTAAATTACAATGATTCAATCTTTACTCTTTATTTTGTAGTTTTTGTCAAGTAATATGATTAATAAGAAGCCTGTTTATCATTAATAAAGTCTACAGCTTTAAACGATACTGGACACTTATCAAGGAATTTGCTTTGGTGTATGATGGTTCAGAGTCTGAACTTCAGACAGTATTACACTAAATTAAATATACAACACAACAAACTAAAAACAACTTAGCCAGTTAATATATGACAATGACTTTCAGAATGGGGACATTTTATGCCGATATTGACGTTGTTGATATCTGAAGACTTGCTTTTCTGTTACTTGCCAAAACATAGACCGTAACATCAGAAGCAATGAAAAAGAAACCCCTGCCGAAACCAGGGATCGAACCAGGGACCTTTAGATCTTCAGTCTAACGCTCTCCCAACTGAGCTATTTCGGCTTGTCTGTCAACCTCACAGCTTGTGACGCTAACTAATTACTATCGGACCTTTGAAATGCGTTCAAATTAAATTATCTATGGGATTATAGGGCTTTTTATAGAAGTGTAGTCATTATTTAAACTGACGAGACGGCCCTGGATGCGAAATAAATGTCTGCTGAATGCCCTATCCAACCTAAAACTAACTTTACCGATGTTTCCCAGAAAGACTACAACAACAGTGTCGCTCAGATTACGCGTCATCATTCTCAGCTGACTGCGACTGCAGCTCGAGACAAGAGCAGAAATGCATGTGTGTGGTTGTGTTTTGCTCAAGTAAATCTATTAAATGTGTTTCTTTCATTGCTTGCATACAATGTGTAAGCCATGTTGTGGTTAACTCGACCACTCGGTTAATCGTTTTATAACGAGCACACAACGCTGCCATGCTCAGTTGCAGACATGCAGTGGAAACAATTTTCTGTCTTTGCGTTACTTCTTAACATTACCAGAACTTCAACAACTTCATATGTCATCACAGTGGATGTGGGGAGACCAGTAGGAGATCTTAAACACTTCTGGACAAGCACTGGTTTCTGGTAGGTTAAATCTAAATTATTATTCCAGGAAAATACAGAGACAGTGGTGATCAGGAAGCACTGAGGAAGTGGACAATTTGTTGAAATTAGAAAATAAAAGTGCTTATTTACACACCAAATCCACCAGAATACCTCTTTATCTATGTATTAGATATGTTTGTATCAATTAAGCATCTTCAATAAACCCCAGGTATTATTTTAATAGTTTTTCTTTTCAGTGGAGACTTGCAGTTTTTTTAAGGACCCACTCTGAAACTGAAATGATCTACACTTTCGTAATTAAGTAGAATATGTATATTGTATTCTCAATCTATGAATGCATATCTGTGTAACAGATGTATCACAAATATAAATTGGAGGCTCTTCTTTGTCCTCAGCCCCCCGCTGCCTCACACCCAGGCCCACCAGTTTGACCTGAGCGTAGACCAGCAGCAGAACCTGGCTCATGTGGGCTCCGTCCCTCATGGAGGGATCCAGCAGGTCAGGATACACTGGATGTTGGAGCTGGTCACTGCACAGTAAGTGAACTAGCTCACCACCTAAGTGTAGTTTAATATTTGTCTGGTTTTTAATTATGCATGTTTTTAAAGGGATATTGGAGGACAACCCCAGTACAACTTCACTAAACTGGACCAGCTGATAGATCTCTTGTGGATAAATGGACTCCGACCAGGTACCTCAACCCCAGTCTGTAAAATATCACATTATATTTGTGATGCATATTTAAAGTATTTTTTTCCCAAGATAAATCACAATAGTGTTCAAGTATTTATTTCATAAAGAAACCTCAATGTTTTTAACCACAATGTGGCTACACATATTTTAGGTTTTGAACTCATGGGCAGTGTCTCTAACTACTTCACTGACTTTGAAGACAAGTCACAAGTGTTTGAGTGGAGAAATCTGGTTTATCTCATAGCCAAGAGGTACATCGGTGAGTGAGTGCCATTGTTTTGTCCCCATTATGTTTTATATGTAGTTTGCATGCCATGTAATCATGATCAATAAAATGACATTAGTTTTAACTTGGAAGTGCTATTTAAAGTGTTGAAATATCTTTCTTTAATATGAATTTAGCTATTTTTGAAACTAGGTAGAGCTTGCAAACCTAATAAAACATATTATTAGTTTCTTGTGTAATTCAACATAAAGTGTAACAATAAGTGAACTGATACACAATTAATCTGCACTCTATAACCCTGCTGCTACGTAATGTAATTGTTCCCATGTTTTCTTTAATGACAGAACAGTACGGCCTGGGGACTGTCTCTCAGTGGAACTTTGAAACATGGAATGAGCCAAACAACCACGACTTTGATAATGTCAGCGTGTCAATTCAAGGTAAACCAATAATGCATCATTTTCGATTTTTTATAATCACTGTAAATCATTTATTTTGTCATAATTGTATCTCATAGATGTAATATTACTTGTGGTTATGTAACTACTATTTATTTAAAAATAATTTGGATACATTCTTTTTTGCAACTGGTTGGTTGATACTGACATTCTCATCATTTTCAGTCATAGATATTAGTTCCTTTGCTTTAGTTTATTGATACATGCTTATTAGGCCATACTGACACTCAATTTAAAAAGTGACACAAGCTTATCCCAATTGTCTACCTGCAATATGATATACGTATTTTTCGGATAACACCATTTTTTATATAAGACAGATCCTTTTGCAAACATAAAAGAAGTCTGGGTTAAAGATGAGACTTCAGTGGATAATTTACTATCCAAAAAGCAATTTTTTAAATATGTTTTGCGACTTGAAAATGATACATTTGTAAAAGGTTTATCTTTTATTGTTTTTTTGCGATGAAAATGCTCACATTTCACAGATGTATTATTGCAATTTTGAACTTAGAAAAAACAGACACTCCACTGCTGTGCCCATGATCAGTTGTTTTTGATAATACATATTTTTTTAGGGTTTTTAAACTACTATGATGCCTGTTCGGAGGGTCTGCTCGCTGCCAGTAGTCTCCTAAAGTTTGGGGGTCCGGGGGACTCCTGTCATTCCCCCCCACACTCACCGTACTGCTGGGCCATGCTGCAGCACTGCTTCAACGGCACCAACTACTTCACTGGAGAGACGGGGGTCAGGATCGACTACATTGCCCTGCACAAGAAGGTGGGCTTCCCTGAAATTAAAGCATCTGAATCATCTGGACATCTTCATTGCCCAGACTAGTTGTTATATTAATGTCCGAAAGCAAACAAATTATACAAAAGTATAGTTATGTCATTCAAATATTAAAATTCAAATCCCCTGAGTTAAGTAAAACTATATTTATTAATGCGTACACCAGCTTAATTATTGTTGACTTTGACTAACTGTGGCCGTCCTAAAGGGAGGAGGCTTCTCCTTGCCCATCCTGCAGCAGGAGATCCAGACCATGGGGGAGATCCAGGAGCGTTTCCCCCGATTCAGCAGCCTCCCTGTTTACAACGACGAGGCTGATCCGCTGGTGGGCTGGTCCCGGCCTCAGGAGTGGAGGGCGGATGTGACCTACGCCGCGATGGTGGTGAAGGTGACGAGAGCACCATGAAAAACACCCAGAGACTAAAATCATGTTTGAATACTGGATATTATAAATAAAGGGCATTGCAAATAATGCATGTATTTGGGTATATGCATGAATGATTAACCATCTGGAGGGCATTTATCTTATTATTATGTTTTCTAAATAAGTGACAAGGATTTTTAGTGGCTGAAGCTAATTGCTATTTTGGTCAAATAATTGCTGCTATTCAGTCACCTCGAAAGAGCAGGGAAAAAAATAAAGTGACATTAATTTTTGTTTCTTCTTTAAACAAAGTTGTGTGTCCCATTTGTGATGCAATTTTAAAAAACTTGCGTCTTGACAAAATGTTACGTTATTCAAGTATGTTTAGTACCATTTCTTGCCTGTTGTTTAGCATATTTTGATGCTTTTTCAGGATCATTTCGTGACTGCAATTATTTGGACCAGGATAAATGTGTTGTGAATTATTTACCCTTGCCTAGTTTCTTACATTAAGAATGTGTCTAAAAACAGAAGTACAAATATAGCACATACAGTTTGCACTACAGGGTGAAAAATAATATCATCTCTTAATTTAACTCATCTCTCTACCAGTTAAATCACACTGAACCAGTTCTCTGTCCTGCTCATCTTAACAGGTTATAAACCAGCACCAGGACCTGCTGCTGGCAGACCCAACAAGCACCATCAACTACACCCTGCTCAGCAACGACAACGCCTTCCTCAGCTACCACCCGCACCCCTTCACCCAGCGCACGCTTACCGCTCGCTTCCAGGTCAACAACACCCAGCCGCCTCACGTGCAGATCATCAGGAAGCCCGTCCTCTCCGTCATGGGCCTGCTGGCTCTGCTAGGTGACCGTCTTTTCCTAAACACTTTCCTTTACCTCCATGGAAAATGTCAATAAATCAGAGAGAGGATAGTATCTTTGGATCGTATAGTTATTGTCTCATAGGAAGTTTTCTAACTAAGTCGAATGACCCAAAAGTGTCTTAGTGACAGCCATGATAACCACTTGAAATGTTCTTAATGCAAAGGAAAGGTGTTATTTTCATAGAGTAACGTCTCCTAAGAAGGATGTTTTTAATTTATCCATAGGAATTGCAAGGAATTGTGAGATGGCTTTATCTCCTTTACTTTCATAAAGGACCGTCCAGTGTATCCTGCGCTAAAGATATGGGATAAGAGAGAAAGCATTTAAATCCTCTTTCCTTAGCATTAAGATGAATAAGAGAATTAGACCAGGTCTTATTGCTGCCACCTAAATACCTCCGGTCTAGATTTTTACTACATGTAAATACCATATTACCGCAATGTTGCATCTGTTATAGTTATCTGTTCAGATATTAGATATCTATTTTTATCTGTTTATACGACCTTTTCATTCATAACTTCCCATATATCCGTATACAGCATTTTATTATGTGAATTTAACTTTAGTAACTGTATTATATATTTCAAAAATATAAAATACAGAATTGTTGCATTTGTATACCTTCAGTGCTAGGCTGTATCTGTGCCTATGACAATCAAGCCTTTTAAAATCTTTAAAATGTTGCTTTCTCATCTCCTCCCAGTCGTATTTGAATGTTGCCTCTTTTGTTTGTGACTCCACTCTCAGGAGAGACGCAGGTCCTCTCTCAGGTGTTGAGCTCCGCAGGTACTAACAGCACAGTGGGAGTTCTCGCCAGCATCCACAGCCCTGTAACAGAGCGCGGCTCCGACAGCTGGCAGGCCGCCCTGCTGCTGTTCAACAGTGACGACAACAGCAGCTCCACCGACACTGATGATGTCCGCCTGTCTCTGAAGGGACTGGCTGCACAGAAGGGTGGGTTCAACTAAACTCAAACAAGCAGACTGACAACCCATCTGTTCAGGCTGCAAATACATCTCTAAAAAGTAAAAAATATAAAATGAAATACTGCTGCCTTTTAATATTATTAATAGGTTATGCGAGTTTCATTTATATAGCAAAAATAAACGATGAAATAAAAATGTGCTTTACCAAAACCTTTAAACGCAAGACATTTTAAACATTTAAATAAAGTGATTATAAATTAAAGAGAATATCAATTACAACAAGAGAATATTAAATGAAACGTGGAATATAATGCAAGAATAAAACTAACAACGCTGTGAAAGATATGAACAATTATTTGATTAAATAAAAGGCAGCAGCATCTTCATCTGCAGCAAGTCTTCATCCTTGATTTCAAATAAGTGATAGTTGCCATTTCTGTGAGTTGGATCCAGATTTGTGATTCATATAACTATTTGTCCAACAGACCATGATTTCTGCAAGTTGAGTTAAATCTGAGTCCTGATTGTCATCTGTCTGTTTGCTCTGCAGGTCTTGTGTATGTTGCATATTATATTGACAACAACTTAACCAACCCGTACGGGCTGTGGCAGAGAATGGGCCGCCCCGACTTCCCCACAGCCGAGCAGTTCAGACGCCTCAGGAGCGAGCAGGTACACACCAGGGAAGAATGATTCTATAAAAATGTATGTTTATTATCATATTTATGTTTTTTTTTAATACACGTTGTGATTTATAAGTTGTTTACAGTTAAGAAACTCTGGAATTTGAAAGAAACACACTGTTTTTTTTACTCAAAATTACATATCTTTTCCCGTTATATACTATATAAATGTATATCTTTCACTGTTAGATTCTCTATAGATTTAGGTATTTACTGTTTATTTTATAATGTTGATATTTATTTTCTGTTATTTTACTTTTCATTCATGTGCAATTCCTTGTTTACATGCTGCTGTGACTAAACAATTTCCCATATTGGGATCAATAAAGTAAATCTAAACTTATCTAATTACCTTACTTTGAAATATTTTTAACAAAACAATGTATTCCCCTATTTATATATTACTAGAATGATAAATATCTTAACCTTGGGTAGATGGCAAGCCAGCTGTGCTTATTTATATTCTCAGTTTTGTCACCGGGTATTTCCATGTAAAAGATTCTTGCATCTTTAATCAACATGTTGAGCTCCACTTTCTGATACCGGCGCTATCTTATTAATGAGATGGTGCAGCAGAGCTGATTCCTTTGATCTATTTTTAGCTTTTCCTTCTCAGTGAGGTGCTGTGAGACATTCTTTGATCCACTAATGATTTGTCATTGTTTTCAGCACCCTCATGTGGATGGACCCCTGGAGGTTCCTGCTGGGGACACTCTGACTCTGAGAGCCAGACTCTCTCTGCCCTCCGTCCTCCTCGTACATATCTGTGCACGACCCAAAGCTGAGCCAGACCAGGTCAGTATCAACTCGCAACCACAAAGAAAAAATAAATGTGATTTTTCCTCTTGTTTGCATGTGTTTTACAGTCCACCTTAAAGAGATCATAAAAGGTCTCTCCATAGGTTAATACTATCTTATATACAGTTAAGCATATGTCTGTGTCAATGCAAGTAAGACAAGTAAATGAGTGTTTTATGATGATTATGTTCTGAATGTTATGATGAAAGCCTGATGGATCTACGTTTTCAACAGACAAACACCTTCATGGTACTAAGCTGCATATTTCAAAAGAGATGAACTCTCAACTATATTTGACTTCTGTTTAGGTTAATGGGTTACGCTTCATCAGGATCACCAAGGGCCAGGTCCTGATCGTCTGGTCGGACCACTGTGTTGATTCCAAGTAGGTGACATAATTATTCCTTTATTTTTGTTTTCACTGCAAAACATGTAAAAGAGTGAAAATATGTAAAGATTAATCATTTGAAGGTTCATTTTCACATACAAATGTATATAAACGACCACACCTCAGTTACAAACCTTGTAAAAAAGTGTTACCTATAGTAGTTTTGTAATAGTTTTGTACCTATGTTATCCAAACGTTGCTAACAGTTTTCAAACCCAGATACATCTGTAATTGTTTATTAAAGTAAGGGTGAGATTTGACTTGGTCTCCTGTAATGGTGACATATCCATCTTTGCACACGTGTCAGCACTGTGGTTGTCTTCAAGAAGCTGTGGTAAACACATTTATCAGTTATCTCAGCAATCTTAAGCAGTTAGCTCGCAGAACCTCAATCCCATGTCTGCCAAATCGCCTCAAAGAAACAATGATTTGTAACATGAATCTGCTTTTTCAGTGTGTTTACCAGATCTGTTGTTTTCTAGAGGAGGTTACCTCTGCGGATAATTCAGCTTCTGTACAGAAAAAACTGTGGAATGTCTGATTCTTAGCTATCAGAGAAATAAGCTGAGAAAACATTAGTGGCAACTCGGTTTGCGTTTTGTTCCTTCTCATACTGCTTGCTGCATTACAGTAGATGAATAGTTAATATGTAATATGTACTTTCAACTGGTCTGTACTTGTTATTAATGAAACTGATATTGATGAAACTGATTTGCTTGACTGTCTCAAATTGCAATGATTGTGTGCATTGCTTGAAATTCACTTAACAGACTGTATGTGGTTTGTCTTGTGTGTCATGTTTTGCATTTTGTCTTTTTGTTTATGTATGTCTGTAAGTTGTTGCTATTGTCGGGACCCCCTTGAAAACGAGATGGTGCATCTCAAGGGGTTTATCCCAATGAATAACATTTCTATATACGTGCATGGACTAAGAACAAGAAAGCCATCGCTATGCACTTTAACTTCTCTGTTTCTTTGCAGATGCATTAAGACTTTTGAAGTGGAGTTCTCCCCAGACCACGAGGAATTCAGCAGAATTAATACTCAAAACACCATTTTCACTTCTTATGTGTATTCACCTGGTAAGGATTCCCAGGAAATGATTTCAAGATTCATGATTTCATTGACAATATTGTCAATAATGACTAACAACATTTCAGAAAAATGTCTTCACCTTTTTAAAAACTAAATACCACCATATACCCTTTTGTGTTTTGTAGTAGACCTGCTGGTGGGCGGTCTGTACAGAGTCCGTGCTGTGGACTACTGGGGGAGGCCCGGCCAGTACTCGCTGCCGGAGAGGTACTCAGAGGAGAAATAAACTTCTAAATCATTTTCTTAACAGTTTTCTACCATGTAAATACATTTGATAGAGATCACTGTGCTGATTGGATATGTTTTATACAGTATGCTGTGTCATCTTTCTCATCACATTGTTAGCATACATTTATCATTTATGCTCATGATCTTTGGGACAGATGATAGCAGAAAATGCGACCTATTTGTACGAAAGGGAAGAGATAAGTAATTAACTGATGACACTGTTAAAAACTGTTACAATCAGAACAAATGTAATGGATTCATGATGATTTTGTTATCTTTTTCAAAATGTGTAATACTCTATTTTATTTATACTCTTTTATATAAATGTGGAAATATCTTTGTGCGTAAGATAAGTAAAAGTTGGATCACCAAATTTAACATGGCAGTTTTTCCAAAGACACAGACAACAACTTCAAGTTTCTTTACAAAATGTATTGTCACCAATCAGAATGATAACACAGATCAGATACATGAACATACTGTGTGGTTGCTTATTCATCACATTACCTCAACCAATAATACTTTTCATTGAATTTTGGTAAGTACATTAGTATTAATCTTGTCATTGGCAGTGTTGATTTAATTCTTCCATGGGACATTTCATTTGATATGTCCGAAGTCTCACTTATGACGTTTGAACATCATAAGCATAACATCATTATTATTCTTTCTTTGAGAAGGGCTATGTCTTCATTTTGGGCAGGATGATCATCCGGTATATACAGAAACTCCAGAAGAAGAAGTTTAGCAGGCTCCTGTTGAAAAAAGAAAGAGAAACAAGTGTCAGATTTATTCAAATGTAACAAATAAAATTACAAAAATATTTTCAAATTAGTTGTTAAGATCCAGAGATGAATACTTGTCCACGGAGACAAGCTTTTACATTCAGTCTTGTGATTTTTCTAGACTTGCCCGATTGTAATGAACCAAAAAGGTCACGTTCTTATTGTGAAGGGAGTCATTTCGAGGGCGTAGTGACAAGAAATGTTTAGAATATGACAATATTAATAAACATCCCAATAAATGGCGAGAGTTATTAAGTACAATATTGAGTTCCAAAATGTAGCACAGTAGAAGTATTAAATATAGCATAAATAGAAATACTCAATTAAAGTAGAAGTACCTCAAATGTATACTTAATTACATGAGTTGAGTAAATGTACTGAGTTACGTACCAGTCTGCAGCACAGGCTGAAACTCGCCGACCAAGCAGATTTCCTCCTGTTTTTGGCGGACGACCCTCTGGATGGCGGGGGGGAGGCCGCGGGGGTTGCGGGAGAAGAGCAGGGAGTATCCGTCGTCGCAGCTTCCATCGTCCTTCAGGGTGCGGCAGGCGTAGGTGAGGGCGTAGTTCTCGTAGTCTGTGTCAATGACCCAGTAGTTGTCACCTGAAAGAGCAGAGAACAAGAAGTTACAGTAGTCTCTGCTGTGTGAGAAAGAGACTGAGAGGATGTGTGGGTACAATCCTCTCCTCAAACTTTTTTTATATAGCAGTTATCTGACTAAAAAAGGTAACACAAAGTACATAAAGTGTTTAGGCATCAGTGGCTCAGGCCTTAGAGACTTGGCATGGGAACCTGAGGCTGGTCCTAAAGAAACATACCTCCGCTGGAAAGGTAGCTGGCCAGGCCCTGGTAGTTCATGAACATCTTGCCGGGGGACGCGGGGTCGGGCACGGAGTACTGAGCGGCCATGTCGGCGCACACCACCCAGAACCTGGAGCAAAAGAGAAAAAAATGGCACTTTTGCAAAAGGACCTTAAAGTTGTATTTAAGTATAGTTCTTGGGTGGAAGTACTTAATTACTTTCCACCACTTAAATACCCACCCAAAGAGAGTAACTCTGCCCTTGGAGGCGGCGACCATGGCTCCATCTTCTCCGATGGTGTACTCAGCAGAGATGTTGTCCTGCAGGAACAAACCCTCAGGGTCCTTCTTCTGCAGAGCGTACCACTTTCCTGCATACTGTGGAGACAAATCATTAGGGCAAATATTTTGAGAGCCATTTCATCAGTACAATATGGATATGCACTTGAAAAAAGAAGGCTTATTTTGAATGTGATCCATCCCCTCCTGACCCAGAAAACGACGCAGGTTCTGGTCCAGGCTCTCGTCATCTCACGCCTAGACTACTGCAACTCCCTCCTGGCTGGTCTACCTGCATGTGCCAGCCGACCTCTGCAGCTCATCCAGAATGCAGCGGCTCGTCTGGTCTTCAACCTTCCAACATTTTCCCAAACCACGCCGCTCCTCCGCTCCCTCCACTGGCTTCTGGTAACTGCTAGAATCCACTTCAAGACAATGGTACTTGCGTACCATGCTGTGAATGGATCTGGCCCTTCCTACATCCAGGACATAGTTAAACTGTGCACCCCAGCACGTGCACTCCGCTCTGCATCAGCCAAACGGCTCGCTGCACCCGCACTGCGAGGGGGACCCAAGTTCCCATCAGCAAAAACACGTGGGTTTGCTATCCTGGCTCCAAAATGGTGGAATGAGCTCCCCATTGACATCAGGACGGCAGATAGCTTACACACCTTCCGGCGCAGACTGAAAACTCATCTCTTTCGACTCCACTTCGAGCGATAGAATTACTAACAAAGAATTACTAACAAAGCAATTATACTAATAAAGGACTGGCTTATCTAAAGCCAGTTGAGTAGCACTTGAAATATGTTGGCTCTATGAAACCTAATGTACTTATATGATTCTGTTTTCTTCAAGTTTGTATCTTCCTGGTCGAACGCACTTATTGTAAGTCGCTTTGGATAAAAGCGTCAGCTAAATCCAATGTAATGTAATTCCTATACCCCAGATTTTAGTAAAGAATACATACATCAAGTGTATTTGAGACAAATGCTGAAACATGATTCCTTTTAGGCTAGTATTATATATATTATATTTTGAGGTAGAAGTATCCGGATTTTGTAATCTTGTTTTTGCGGGTTGTGGAATGTAGGTCTACACTACACCAAGATTTCTGACCTGATTAGGCCTGATCCTTTGGCACAAAAAAAGAAAATGTTGGCCTATCCAATCACTGATTTGTACCATTCCATTTTTAATTGAAAGGTCCATAATCCTTGGGATTCATTGTTATGTAAATCTCAGTGTATTTTGTATAATAATGGAAGGATAGTACACAATATGCAACATTATATTCAATTGTTTGCGGATGATGCATTGACTGATTGTACTTTGGAGGATGTTGATCAAATTGTCCTCCTTGTTCATTTAGCTATCTGCCCTGAACCTACAGATGAGTATACTGTAAACGGTTTTTAGTTACAGTAACTTGCACTTGAACAGATTTAAATACTTTAAAATATTTCTCTACTCACTCTTGCTTGGTCAAAGTCGGCTTTCACAGTGAAGCTGTCCACCATGCAGGAGGCCAGGCTCTGCTCCACACCGGCCAGTAGCAACATCGCCAGGGAGAACATTTGGAAGTCCATTCTGGCCAAAAAATATTGAGCAGATTTTAATTTAGTATGAATTTTCATTATTTTAGAGCAACTTGCTGAATCTGGCTAAAAGAAAACTCTTGCAACTCCTCATTTAGTTTGTAAAAAAAACATTTGGTCCCCACAAAGCAGCGTGTTCTTACCTGAAGTGCTGAAGAAGTTTCTGTCGCAGTCTGAGCTGTGGTGAGGAGACGCCGTGTGAGCCTTTTTATATGAGATGCTCAGACAGGCTCACTGATTATTTGCACTCCTTGAACCTAAATGCAGAGTTTAATCTGTCGCTAATCCTGTTACCAAAATCCCCTGCTAGTAAGCTGTTGAACCCTCACATTCAGCGGTGTGTGTGGGTTTTATGTAATTGTTTGCATGACCCTGTAATGGGATACATAACGAAGCGGTGACCTGAGCCTCAAGTCACACGTCCATGCCAAATGTTTACATGACCAACCTATGGAGCCACAAGTGTTGTGGCTCCATACCTGCTGAATAAAAAAGTGATATAGTGCAGCAGAGTGAATAATAGATTAATTAAAGATGAGGTAAGATTTTATTTTGACACGCCAATCTTTTCTTGGTTAAAAAAATAAAATAAAATGTTTATACATCTTTAGGTAAAATGTTCCCAAATCTCTGGAAAGTATTTAAAGTACAATGCTTATGACTGGACGGTAACGTTTTCCTTTTTTAATCTACTTTTATTCAGACATGAAGTGCAAAAAGTATGTAAAAACTAAGAAAAGGAAGCATTTCCACATGTACCCCCAAAGGAAAAAAACAAAACAAATATGTTATGTAATAAAATAGTCTGCAGAATAATGACGCCCAGTCATGAGACGTCAGCTGAGGCTCAGGTGGTCACTTGCATCTTATTCCCAAACGCTGCAAGAGCTTCAACCTGTAATCCGCGGGGGCAAAGTGTGAATTATAGAAAAACATCTGAGTTATATTACATGAAGTTTAAACGACTCACGCACCAGCATTGGAGCATACAAATGCCAAAGTGAGGACACTTTACAAAGGTTTAAACTAGAGTGGGGTATCTTACCTTAAAGAATGTTTGCTGCAACAGATGCATTGACAGACTTCATTTGCTGTTGCACTCAAAATGTCTCATCAGTATATTTTCCATTATTTTTCAAAGCCTTTTTGTAGACTTGCTTTTGGCCTCTTTTTATTGATTTCTTTAATCATTTGAAAAATATGTTTCCCTCTATCATCTATTTTGTTTTTCTACTTTTCATTGACTGACTAATTTTGTCCTAACATGCAATTTGTTTAAAGTAAAAACATGCATTAGCTGATGCCTTAGTTTTTGAGTTCCATAATCTGTTGATATGGTGTATTCTAACTACTCTTACTGTAAACTACAGTAGTTGAGAGTTAAGTAAACACAACTAGCATGCCAGTAAGTCTGTACTGTGTTTATAGCAGGCCCTAGCATTGTTTCTACTCTAATAATAACCTGTCTTCAGTATATTAGGTAAGGTCTCCGGGCTTTGACATCCTGCACTGCTCAACCTAACACGTGACATGTCAACAGTATTAACTCTGCATCTCTAATCTGAAAACAAAAGCTAGGTTGAAATGATCCAGGACACAAAGACGCACTCTTGCTTAACTGGAGGTGAGCTCGAGTTCAGCATGTTTGGATTTGAGCCATGTCAAGTCTCTGTTAGGTGTTTAGCTGCTGGCTCGGAGAAAACACAAACATCTCCGTAAGATGTATGTATGGTTCAGTTGGTATCTGAGCAACTATACTGTCAGCATGGACCTTCACTCTGAAAAACACAAGACCCAAAAGTGACTGCAGGAAGTATATTTAAAAAAGAAAATCCCAAATTGTATCAAACTATTGTGGGATTTTTTGGAGTGTAAATCATTTAACATTTGGAAATACTTCTGCGACAGTACAATGTGGAATTTCTTGTTTAAAATATCCAGGCACTTTATCCAACAATGCTCAGAACTGAAGGAAATTATTTTTACAATCAAAGTAATTTTTCAAAATACACATACTTTTGAAGTGCAGGAATTGTGCTGTCTTTGTGATACTTGGCTCAGTGTTTGGGGCTTTAGATTGTTTGTCAGACAAAACTAAATATATATTTGACATTACTTAATTACAGATTTAGTATATGAAATAGAATTAAATACAACTTTGATAAATGTATCTCATGTAGTTTGTGCACATTCATCTCGTATCAATATAATTAGCACTGTAATGCTTCTTACATGATAAAATACAGAACAATAAGTGAAGTAGATTTTTTAAATGTGAACCAGTGCTCAAAAAGATGTTGGCGAATAGGAAGCAACTGAACATTATCCAATAGCAACACGTGACAAACTTCTTAACTTAATGAAGATGGTGTTTTTCCATTTCATATCATTTTAATATAACGTCCATCATACCCGTACTGTGTCAGTGGCTTTATGGGAACACCAATCCAAAGGGCACAAAAAGGCAAACACCATAGTGATCATTTCAATTTGTATTTATGACATTGTTTCATTACAAACACTTTATTATCTTTTGAGTGCGGTTGCATTTCAAGTATTACAATGCCGAGTTCAAGATGGTTAACTTAAAATCACTGCATCTGGCAATCCAGGGAGGGGTTGTAATATACAAGGTAACCATGAATGCATCCAGAAAACAGGAAGTGTTTGACTAAAGGCTACTGGGCTGTTGTTATTCCAGGAAGAAGAAGGGAGAGGTTGGGAATATTACATGGAGACCTTCATCTGCTTTACTTCAGGATACTTTCTTGATTTGCTGTAAGGACAGAGAAAGTGGGATTAGTACACGTAGAATGGGTTGTGCAACACCAACTGTATTATAGTGTACACTGGTATTGCCTTCACTCCCTGTTAATTGTACAGCATGCAGGTATATGCATGTACAGACTGAACATTTTTCATGTAAAGGAAGCAGATATGGTTACCTTCGATCTCCTTGGCGATGCGAATCTTCTCCTCAAGAGCCTTTTTCTCCTCCTCTGCTATCCTCTTATCCTCAACCCCAAGAGGCTTCAGGTACTCTGTTTAAAAGGAAAAATACATGTATTATGGGAAATGAGCTGAAGTACATATACTGTTAATATGCACTAAGCAAGAGTTGTATATACACATATACCTGACCAAAGCCTGAATTGTCACATCCCCGTAAATAAGATGCCGCAGGAACTCAAAAGACTTTAATATTTCATTTATTTTAGAAATTGCCATGTTGCTGTGACATCAAAAAGGCAGCTAAGCTTAAGCCTACCAAGTTCATTACAATATATAACTCTTGTATTTATTTTGCAAGTTTATCATGAATCAAATGTTACCTCTTGTATTAAGTTTTTCTTTTGTGTGTTTACATTATGGCAATCACTTAATGCAACTTTTACCAATATGAAAACGTCATTATCTTATACACACTTAACTGTTTTCCTTGCATTACCTGCTATATTGACTTCACACACACAGCAGACTAGAATATATCCTCAAACTAACGTCACTATATCCTAAATCAAGAATCCACTTCAAATCAAATTAGGACCCCAAGAATCAAAATCAATTGATGGAATCCAATCCACTGGTTTGGAGTCTAAACTCTTCTCTTTATTGTTGGATAACCTATTGTTATATTAGAGTACACAATGGTAGTTTAAACTCATTGCACTGTTCCAGTAAATAATAAATAAGAACTTACCATATCTCTGTTTGCCATAGATGATGCCGGCAATCAGAGCTGAATACCTTGCGGTCTGTGAAGGACAAAACCATGCAAATGAATGCCAATGTTACATTTCCTACCAATTAAATGCATTATCAGGTGACATATCTACAGACCACTAGTAGCTCTTGCTTTAGAAGCGGTTGTCATCATCACTAAGTTTTGTTATAATGTTACTTACCACACCTATTGATCTCTTTACAGTGCTGCAGGAATGTATTGAGACCTTGGTCATGTCACTGGTCATGTCAAACTACACATTTAAGAGAGTTTCCAGATTGGTTAAGAGTTTCATTCTGCCAAAACAGTATCCACTGAGGAGCATTGGTTTCATTAAAATCTTATCTACTTTAACAGACTGTCCACCTGTTTACAGTATGTCACCCCCAAACAGTGGACGACAGCAAGGACAAATCGAAACGAAAACGCTAGTAACAGCTGAAATCAATAACAATTCATGTTAGGTTAACTTGGTTTAAACCAAGATAAAAGATGCCATAGTATTTATATAATGTTTTCTAATAGACTTAAGTCATTTAACCCAAGGACATTAGCAACATGTTAGCTTAAACGTTACGTCGTTTCAAATGAGACACTAAAGTGTGACTGTTAGATATCAACGTCGAGGGTGAATGCACATCACAATATACAATGCAATGAAACAAATGCATTGTTAATAAAAACACATAAATGAAAGGATTAGCTTTTGTTTACAAGCTGTAGTAACGTTGTAAAGTTAAGACTAACGTTAGCTGCTAGCATGCTAACAGTTAGCTTAGCAGGATAGAGTGTGCTGTGTAGCTAGCGAGCTGGAATACAATTTCAAAATTAAATTACAGCACAACATGAGTAACTTTCCTGCACATTATATACTGCAAAACAAACCTTTATCAGAGGCGACACTGCAACTGGGGGAACCATCGTGGTAGAGAGACTGACAGCACCAGAGGTCACTTTACAACGGAGGAGAAGGTATTCTTCTGTGTGAGGATTTACTGCAGCTGCGGTGCTCTTTATTGAACTACCGCCGCCTGCTGGTGGAAATGACCAACTTCAGGGGCAATTTATGGAGGGGGGCAAGGACGGAACCTGCTAAAATCAAAAAGGTAATACAAAAAATGTAACACTTGGAAATGTTTGTGATATACGAGATTAACATAAATTGTACTGTTCTTTATATGATATTGAACATTATTACATTTACTAGATTCCTTTTCACATTCAGTTTTTTCCTTTTCAAAGAGTCCACCAAATAAATAGTTTTTGTTTTGATGTCTTTTAAAAGTTCTTAATGTATATATTTTAGCCCTATATTATAACTTGCCAATTCCTACCTATGGGTTTGGAC